ATCTAGAACATCATGTACATTCTGATATTAAAAGAGATTTATGATGTGTACATATTTATTTATAGCAACTTGCAAATTTAAAACGAACTTATATTTCTAGGCAATTAGAATTAATCTCATCTCAGTTTTTTTTTTTTCCTGGAATAAAAATCTGTGGCAAACTCTACCTTTTCTATGAAACATTGCAGGTGATGAAGGACTGATATTGAATCTATTCTGTCATAAGGTAAAGGTGCTTTATTTGTCATCAATGCATGTTCCCATACAATGATGAAATTTGTGCTCTGCATCTGATCCATCTCACATGACAAACACCCAAGTAGAGCAGCGGGCAGCTATGTAAGCACCCAGGGAGCAGTTGGGGGTTGGCTGTCTTGCTCAAGGACACCACGGCATGTGGGCATGGTGGAGAGTCGAACCTGTGACTTTCTGGTCTCAAGCCTTAAAACTAATGTTGGTGGCAGTCATCTCTGTAACAATGCACTTTTATCAAGTATTATACGCTGAAAGGTGCAGCTTGATGGTGAACAGTGTGCTGACTTTTGGGAGCAACACTGTTATAAATCAAATTAGTAAAATCCTGTGAGGAAAACTAAAAGATCATTCAGGTTTCAGCAAAATGTCCTACTACATTCAGAATTTAAATATTCCAGAAAATTGGGCTTTGCATGTCTGAACTGGTATGTTACTATATTTGACTGGTTTTAAAATCACAGTTTAAGTTTTAGGATTTTTCAGCTACAGGACTTATGTTTTCTTCTCAATGCGGCAAGTGCAGAGGCAGAGCGGAGCCTGATCTTGCACAAACATCACATTCATCTGCCTCCAGTGAAGCCGACGCTCCACTGCCTCATTGGTGCCTTTGTAACGTCCACATCAAAAGGGCCTGACCCTCAGACAGTCTGGTCACATTAAGGGAGAGTTAAAGACCGTCTGACCTTGTGAATAAGCTTATTGATCAGGGCAAAAAGCAGCTTTACTCTTTGATCTTTCAACTTATGAAAAAGCTTGTCAGTGTGTGTATTTTTAGATAAGAGAGGGCTACTGCGCAGGTCTAGTTTAGTGATGCTTTATAACTCAGTGACTAATGAACCTTTAACCATTTATCTCTGCATACTAACATGTAAAAACATATTTGTGACCTAATACTGACATACTGTATAAACACCTACTGTTTTAGGTAATTAGGACTGTATGATGTTGTTTTTGGAGATTAGCTGGAGCACTTCATCCACACAGACACTCCGATCAGAGAGTGAGGCCGGACACAATGACACAGTTTTTTGGAGTTTATTGAACTCTCCAGTCTTTTACAGCATTAAGTTCCATTTATGAGTTGCCTATCCGTCACAACCAATATTAACTGTCTTTTATCTGTCTGTCTGGTATCTGAAATAAAAGAAAAGGGCTAAATAAGAATATGCTAAYATGTAGCTTAGCTTACACTTAATATTACAAGAAGGCAAAACCTCAAACATGAAATAAACACTTCTTGGACTGTCTCAAACTAGYGCCAAAATCGCGACCTCATTTGCATATGAAAAGAAATAATTAGCGCTCATTAACGGTTCATTAAACTCACCTTTGTCACAAACGCAGACAGGCATCCATGATAAAAAGAACAAGAACTGCCTTGCTCAGCTCTATATATATCCAAGGAACCCTTAGCTGTCCAACCAGATGCCTGACGTAAAAATACTAATTAGCTGTCCAACAAGATGCCTGATGTAAAATACAAATTAAAGTCTTAAACAGGCCTGAACAAAACACAATGCAGAAATACTGGGGAATTTACAACATTATAGTCGACCAATCATCGATTTGTCGACTATAAAAATAATCGTTTGTGGCAGCCCTAATTACCACTACTGCGCATGTGTGTCAACGACAGAAAGGCAGACGTGGCAGTGGAAGGTGCCGCAGCAGTTTGGAGAGAAAAACAAAGTTAAAAAAATAGATGCATCAACTATTAAATTAGTTGACGATTTTAATTGTCGACAATAATCGTGACTAGTTGACTAATCGTGGCAGCCCTATCCACCACAAAGAATAAGAAGATATTAATTAAAACCCACATAGCAGACAGGCGTGGGCCAGATCTGGTGTCATGTCGGCACTGCTGACTGCTGCATGACAAGTTGTTGGTCAACCAGATGTGGGCCAGGTCTGGCAATTTTGGCACTGTTTTTAAGATGGCATGTAGGAATGCACCGATATGAAAAATTTAGCCGATATCCTGAGTTGTAAAGTAACTATGTACAAATACTTTGTTACTGTACTTAGGTAGAACCTTTGGGTATCTGTACTTTACTTAAGTAATAATTTTTCAGCCTACTTTGTACTTCTACTTCTTACATTTTCACACAGTTATCTGTACTTTCTACTCCTTACTTTTTTAAAAAAG